AGTGTAGTACAGGCATCATTTTACTTGTGAACACATTTACCTACATCCAGGATCAACATGATGACCCAAAAATGAACTTTTGCTCTTTGTTAGACTACCTTCTAAATTCCTTCAGCACAAACAAATAGAAGGCATCTACTCTGGCAGCATTTGCAAATATTGGGACAGGCCTTAAGGAGAGTTTTGGGCATCACCATGTTTAGAGTACCTTGAATTTTGTGTTTATTTATTTGTCTAAAATGGTCAGAAAACAAAGGTTAAACATAGCTGCAACACCCCCTCCCCCCAATACCTTTGTTGAGCCATGTAATGGACAGCAGTAAACTGTGTACTAGAGAGAATTTAGGTGATATAAATTCATATATGAGGACATTTTCTCACTTATCTTCAAGGTAGGAAGCTGCTTTGCTGGGGTTAAATGATAGAGATAGTGGCATGTTCTTCTGACTTGTTAACCTCCCTCTACTAATGATTTTTCTTTGATCATTTGCCTTGCTCTTAAGATTGCTGTTGACTGGGCCTATCCCATATATTGAGTATCGTTAAGCTTTTTGTTGATAGTTTATCTACTCTGTTGTCTCTTGTTAATCTTTACCTTCTAGTTTATGACATTGCTGACATTTATCCCACTATTTGTAATTACCTTTTTGGCTGTTCACTTTCCTGGTCTTAGGCTCTCTGGGACTTGCTGGTCTCAGTTCTTGTACTGCATCTGCAGTCTGCTGCTGCCCTTGAGGAAATCCTCAACTGTGCTAAATCCTAGACTGAACTCAAACTCACATACCCCTCCAGGTAGAAGTTATAGTGCTAAAGCTACCTTTTTTCAGGTGACAACCCTTTCTGGTAAATGGGATGAGAATAACCATGTGAATTTTTAATAAGTATTTGCTTTCCAAAACATGAGAATTTAGTCTTTACTCACTAACACCTAGAGATAAGTGGTTTTACATAGATTTGTTTAAACAAAGGGTCAGGGAGCAATATTTCTATTGTATGTAAAGATGTATTTGGATCAAAAAGGAGACTTCTTTTTGTGTGTTTGTTTTGGTACCGGGGATCGAACTCGGGTCCTTGTGCTTGCACAGCAGGTGGCGAAACCACTGAGCTAAATCCCTGGCCCAGGAGACTTCTTTTTGAAGAGGAGCCAAATTGAATTGCTTTCTTTTATTTACCAGTTGCATATATGAGAAGGCAAGTGTTTGGCTGCTTGAACAGTCTATTCTTTTGTAGAAACTGTTCTTGTTAAGTTACCAGAGTGTCTGTGTTGGCAAATGCAGTGGTAACTAATGGGTCTTTAACTTACTTGATGCTTTTGACACAGTTGATCAGTCTGTGTTGAGACTTTCTCTCTGCTTCTAGGACACTGCAATCTCTTTGATTTTTTTCCTAATGTATCTCTCAAATTGCTTTTTACTTTTAATTTGTTTCTCTAATAAATATATAAATTGAAACCTACAATTGAAACACTACAATCAATGTTCTCTTTTTTTTTTATACTTTCCCCTAATTGATTCCAGTAGAGAGCTTGGTTTTCACATACTAATGTTTTGGAGATCTCTAATTTGGACCAGGCTCACCTTAACGTTTTTTTTTTTTTTTTAATTTGGATCACTGTAGGTATTTCCAATGTCAGATCTCCAAACTGAAGTACTTGTCTTTCTTCTCCAGCCTCTTGTGATCTTTTCCATCTGAATATATGGCAGTTGGGTCTTTTGAACTGTCCAACCTCTAAACCTTGGAGCCAGTCTGTGTCCTCTCCTTTTTCTCACAGGAATTTCTGTCTTCATAACTGTATTTCTAGCACCAAGAGTAAAGTCTGATAGAGAGTAGATACCAATAAATAAAACGGAAAGAATGATTTGTGTAAGTTAATAAGTAGGTGAACTGGGTCCAATTCACAAAGATTAGAACCTTTAGTTAACTTAGGATTCTCCAAGGAGAGCAGAATTCCTTACTTTCTTACCCTTATCTACTCCAGAAGGGATGTAGCTTTTGTCTTGTTATTGTAACCACATATTCTACATTTTGAACGTCAAGAAGAATATGATAATTATTTTTTATGAAGGTCTTATTCTCATTTCCATTTTCTTGAGTTTCTATTAAAATACCCAGTTGACAACAGGTAGATGCTGAATAGCAATTTTTTAAAAAGAGAATGATTCATAATTTATCAGTCTCGATATTTTAAAAGCAGGATTTTTCTCGTTCTCCTCTAAAACGTGTTGTTCTTCTTGCATTTTGTACCTCATTAATCATATCATTTCCAGCTTTGAGTAACAAACATGAGGGACCTCTAGTTACCTCCTTTACCTTAACCCTTTGTTTCCACTTTATCGGTTTTCTTGTATTTTAAATGTTGGCCAAGCCCTCCTCACATGGTTCAACATATTTACTTTTACAATGGCTTCTGTTTTAAAATTAATTTTTATTAGCACGTGTTTGCAGTAGCTTCTTAACATGAACTTACTGTCTCTAGTATTGTCCTTCCTTTGCATAAAATCTTTTGTGATTTTCACTTTTCCCATTTGAATCTGAGTTTTATAGTTTGGCACACAAGGATGTACCCCATCTGGCCTCATTTCTTCTGACTCCTTTACCTGCTTGCTCTACCCTCTCGCAAGCTATTCATGAAATTTGAATTAATTGTAATCATGTGAAATGGCCCGTGTCTTTGAACATATTAATTCCTCTGTTGAAACATTTTTGTCTACTCCTTCATCAGACATTTTCCTGTTAATCCTTCAGTTAGTGCTTTTATTAAGCAGTCTTTGTCCTTATTTAGTATCTCTGATTCCCATTTTATGTCAGGCATATCTCTTGTAATACATAATATTTTTTTCACTTTACTTGTTTATCTTCATTTGGAAAGATACCCTATCCTGTTTATCTTTGCAGTTCTTGAGCCTTTTTTAGTGACTCTAAAGTTAATTGATATGTCATGAATTCTGGGTTGGCCCCTCTTTCTGCTATGCTACCTTAGTATGAAGCTGTGTGATGCCACAGCTCTATATATCTCTATATATGATATCAAAGGTCCATATATTAGAAGGAACTCTTATCTTCACTATATGATTTTTTTATTTCTAAGGAAAATCAATATGTTTTGGTACATATGTATATTCACAGATATATATTTGCATGATATAAGTCAATCAAAGAGTGGTTGTAGACCATGATAATGGCAAATTACCATTAGAATTGGGAAAGGATTTTATAAATTTAACCCAAAATTTATTATTTTAATTTACCTTCCTACTTTTCCTTTTATGGAGAATTGACCTTCTTATTTTTCCTGGAAATAATTTGGATTATCTCTTCTTTGTTCTTATACTTTTATGATATAATTAACTACAGTATTTGCATTCCAGTTAGGTGACATTTTATATTAAATTTTGTTGTTGTTGTTGTTGTTGTTTGTTTGTGTTTTTGATACAGAGTCTTGCTGTGTAGCCCAGGCTGGCTTCAAACTCATGGTGATCCTCTTGCCTCAGCCTCTCAAGTGCTGGGATTATAGGCATGTGCCACCACGCCTGGCTTATATTAATTTTTATGTTGTTTAATTTTGCTTCTTTCTTTGAGTTGTCTAATTTTCATTTTTCTAGAACCTGGTTGACGTATAACTGATTTACTTTCTTTGAATGTAGAGAAACACACAAACATATATATGTATGTGTGAATGTATTCACACACTTCAAGATCTTTTAAAATTATATGGTATTGCTGAAAAATATGTTGTTGATACTGAGTAATATCTGGAGAGGAAGTTAAACTTGACTTTTTGACACCAACTGGTTACAGCTGAGTGAATATGTACTGGAAAGGTAGATGGTTGAAGGTTTTGCTTTGTTTTAAAATTGTATTTCCCTTTCACCTCTCTGTCTCCTGGCACATTTCTCCCTCCTACTTTAAGCAATCTGAAGTTTTGACAGTTAGGGAAAGGTGCTCAGGTTTTAGTGCTTAGATATCAAATATAACAATTATTGTATATTTCAACCAGCAGGAACTGAGACCCCTGTTGTTGTCTTAATCCAAAACCAGCATTTTAAATTCATATAAACCTTGCCTTAAGGGATGAAGAAAAGACAATTTAGGGAACAGCATGAGGTTAAACATATTGATCAATAGTGTAGTAGTTCTTGCTAGACTTTGAGTAAGATGTAGACATAGAAAAATAGCATTATCAATAACAGCTGAGACTATTTTGCTTTTATAGACTCTCTTTTGCTTCTATTAGATGTTTTCTGATGGAGAAAGATACAGTTCAGCCAGAGAATAAAAAAAAATTGAAAAGTTGAAAGTTGGAGTGCCAAACCTGGACTGAAAAATTTCTTTTTAAAAAAAGTTCATGTGTTATGTATTATTTAGTGAGCTAAATTATATATTTTATATTAATAAAATAGCATATAACGATTTTGAAGTTTGACCAAACTGTAAGAAACTTTGTCTGGAAAATTAACTTCTTCCAGTTAATTATGTAATGCTTATTATATAGTTTTTGGTTATAACCAGATTAATCATTAACCAGATTTAGTATCTTGTTACCTTGAGGTCTTTGGGAATTTTGTTTTCTTTTGATGAGTGGAAGATTATTTTATTATTCTATATTAGATGTTATTCATCCAATAATATTTTTAGTTTTCAGCTAGGATATGTTTAGTTTCTATTGTATGTGTATAAATGGTATTATAGGACAAGACCTTAATTTTTGATTTTGAGTGAATTTCTTTGTAGAAAGATACAACTGGCTAATCTTGCTCCATCTGCCCTTCATCTCATTAACACTAAAATAATGAGAAATAAAAAATTCCACTGAAACTATATTTCTTCCACAATACATAATTGACTACAATATTTTACTTACAACTTAACGTATTAATAGGCTCTCCTGTAAGAGAAGATATTTGATTATACTTGGAACAAAACCTGCATTTAAAAAAATTGGTTACTTTTTCTTTAATGTTGGAAACCAAGTCTGTGTTTCACTGTGTAATCTTTTGTAGGTAGCTTGTATGCAGCTCATAAATGCCCTCGTTACATCTCCTGATGACTTGGACTTCAGGCTTCACATCAGAAATGAATTTATGCGAGGTGGATTGAAAGAGATATTGCCCGTAAGTGCCCTGTAGCCTCCTTATTAATTTTTAAATTAGAAGAGTACTTGAGTGGGGGAAATTTAGATAAATTTCCCTCAAGAATAATTTATCTGTGGGAAAAGGCTTGAGAATAAAAATCTAGTTTTGAAATATAGTTAAGATTTTAGTATTATTTAACACTTTAAATATTTGAATGCTATAAATCATGTTGAATGGCTGGTTTATTGTTTATATGTTATTCATTAATTTTTTTGATAATTAAAAACAAAATCATTCATCACAATTTCTATTTAATATCTCTAGTATTTAAAGCATATTAAGAATGATAGCCTGGATATCCAACTTAAAGTGTTTGATGAGCATAAGGAAGAAGATGTGATTGAGTTCTCGCATCGCTTTGAAGATATTAGAGCTGAAGTTGAATATCCTTTTGTTCTTTGGTTTAGTCAAAAAGTGTTTTTTGACTAAAAAATTAACTGTAAAATTTGACTACAAAATTATTGCTAAATCCAAAACAGTCAACCATTTCCTATAAATATTTACCAATTTCTCTTAAATAATGTGAAATTAAACCTTCATGTATCAGAAAAATGGGATTATTTTGGTAATGTATGGTTTTGTGAACATGCACATGTGTAAATAGATTTTGCAATTAACAAATGGCTGCTGTTCTACCAGCTTCTTATGTGTGTATATAATCTATTCTTTTTATATTTGGCACCTCCCCTGCCATCCAGTGCTTTTCAGTGTTAGGAATCTGGTAGCCTCGGCCCAGTGACTGCTCTTTGCTTGCTCATGTGGTCAGGGTCCTGTAGGCCACATGTTAATTCTGTGGGGCTGCAGATGTCTGTGGTCTTCACTAGGGCCCATCTCTAAGTGAGTGCTTCTCCCTGAGAGGTGATTCCATTGGTCAGAGCACACTTGGAGCTCAACACAATGTTCACCATTAGCTGGCCGTGGCCCTTGGACCCCCCCTCCCCCGGCAGCATTTTCAGTTTGGAGAGACAGATTGAATGGAGTTGATTATAATGGAGAAGCCAGAAAGAGTCAGGTCAGGTTGTCATTTTCAGAGCTTTCCCTGCCCTCAACCTTAATACCTGTATTAGGGTAAGATACACAGGTTTTCACAGCCTTACAGAGCAGATTCTGTGTTGTACCATATTACTATAGTTTTGGGGGGCTTGGAGTATTCAAAAATTTGTGTGTTCTTTAATCAACTTACGGAAGCATCTGATGTTTATAATATGGTGTGGAACACAGTAAAAGAAACAAGAGCAGAAGGATATTTTGTTTCTATACTTCAGCATCTTTTGCTTATTCGAAATGATTATTTTATAAGGTAAGAAGAACTTATATCTGATGTTTTCTTTCACTAGTAAAATATCTATTAATTGTAAAATTCGTTTGCTGTTTTATTTAGATAAACAAGTAATTTTTGTTTCTATCATACTATTGATTTATAAAATGTGTGGTTTCCTCTGGGCATACATTTAGTGATATACGATGGTTAAAATAATAATGCTGTTAACTTTTTAGGCTTCAGTGGATTCTTGGTTACAACCTTTCATCTGAATAAAAATGCAAATTAGCAACAAATTACTAGTTTGTCTTATGATGTATAATACTTTTTGGTTATTCCTAAGGCAGTAGGAATGATGTTAAGTTTTCTTTTACATGAAGCCCACCAGATAGTACTTTTATTGCTGTTTAAGTAGCTAGAAAGTACCCTAATAATATAGGCATATTTAAAGCTTGTAACGAGTTAGAAAAACTATATAGCTTTTTAAGTTTGATGGTATCCTAGCCATCTGAGCTTATCCAATTCTTTATGCTTTCTGTACTTCACCTACATCATAACACACTTAAATGTATATTATGAGCACTGAACTTAATGTGTTGCTCTGAAGATTAAATGTGGTAACATGAGTAAAACTAAGAGCCAAGTGCCTGGCACATGGTGTATGCTCAGTAAAAGTTCTCTATGTCTTCTTTCCACTTTTATTACTGTCTTACGAGGGAAACTAAGATCTTTGAATACAAAGTCATTTTTGGAGAGGCACAAATTGAACTTTGATGAAATTTCATTGTCAAATTGTGGGTAGCTGTCTTTCCCTAACTAATCCATGTGGAAGAGTTAGAACAGCCTCATTCGGGCTGGGCCCTCTGAGTGAAGTCAGAGGGTGGAGCACGAGTGTTTTCATGGACCTGTAACAGGAGAATGAGCCAGAATGTTGACACTTCAGATTCTTCAGAATGAGTAGAGCTCATGGGTAAAACTTATCTTGTAGCTAAAATCTCATCAGTATCTTAAATTATGAGTTAAGTAACTTGTTTTGAAGTTTAATTTGCTGTTTTCTGAGAGTTTATGATGAGATAACTTAAATATTGAAACACTTTGTAAATGTTGGATACAAAATACTTATTAAATAAGATTTTTAAATTACTGGTGCCCTGCTAATTGTAATGCTACATTCCTACTCCACTTAAAAATAAAATTGAAACTTCTGTCTATTCATTCTAAAGTAACCTCATCCAGTTTTGATGCATGTACATATTGTGCTGTCAAACTCTGGTAATTTGATGCTGTTTGAGTTCCCATAAATTCAAGGCTGTTGTTTGTGTTCAGGGGTTTGAATGTGATAGAGTTACAGGGCCTGTGTCTCCCTTACGATTTCTAATCCCTGTGTCTGAGCTCCAAGAGGGCTTGATGCTTTGTCTGCCTTTAGAACAGATAAAAATGTGTAGGGGATTCTGTGGTGATCCTTCCTTTTAGCTGAAGACATAAGAATTCAAGCCCAAGAAAATCATTTTTCCTCCTATTTTGTTATTTATTTATTCTTTTAAAAAGATTATGTGTTTATTATAAGATTGTGTCACCATTGTGGTCATTTACATATTTTTGTCATATATTCATCTTTAAAATATTTTACTTATTTAGCTTTTTATTTATATACAGTATACCTTAAATTTTATTGGTATACAGTTCTAGGGAGGTTGTTCTTTTGGTTTTAACTTCATTTTTTGGTTTCATCTACTGAATTTTCAGATCTTATTAGATCTAAATAATTTTTAAAATAACATTTTAAATGATTTTTTTGATATGAACAAATATAACTTTTCTTTTTTTCTAATAGATTAAAATGACAGAATGCAAAATGTTCTGGTTTTTAAAAATTAAGAGATGTAAAAATTAGAATCTTATAAAATTTCTCACCTTAGGGATAGAAAGAAATTTTACTAAAACGTAACTCCATTGGAGAAGGTACATAAATGTAGTCCGTGTTTCTGAGCGGAAAAATCAAAGTGCAATAAGTTAATTGGAAGATGAAATCAGATTCAGTTCAGTACCAAAGAACTAATGACTTACTAGGTGTAAAATACCATGCTAGTTGAATGTACATGGAAGATAATTCTGATATTTGTTAAAAATACCACAGATAACATGAATATGATTTCATAGTATTCTCCAACAAAAATGGAATTTTATCAGTGAAATAATGTGGCTATTTATGTTCATTCCTTAATTAAGTTTCTCATGTAGTCCTCTGATGAATTCATTGAAATAGCTCCTAGAGGTTATGTTATAGATACGCATTCCTGGAATCTGGAAACACATTATTCTTTGTTATTTTTGCCTGCTGAAGGACATTTGCATAAACTTTAGCTCTATTATAAAGGAAGTCATCACTGGGCATTATAGTACTGAGAAAAATTTTACTAATATGATTTTTTTTTGTTAAATTCTTTTATTGGTACGTTTTAGGTATACAACACAATTACATTTCTCATTGGGAATTATACCTTTACATGATGCATCTTGGTTCTTATTTTTTCCCCATTCCTAGCCCTCCCTTCATGTCCTCCACCCTTCCCTATTTACAAAGACTTTATTTCCATTTTTTCCATTTCTCATCATTTTTCCTTTCCCTTCTTTCCTTTCGCCC